TGAAATCATGTTTATTGTTTTGAAAGTTTGCAAAACAAGTATTTTTGTGAAAATATTGTTTTCTTGGTATATGGACTTAACAATAATGATATACATCTTCTATTAAGTCTATATATTCATTTTGTAAAGTTTCAAAACATGGTTAAGCTAAAATGTCAAAACTCATGTGTTTACGTTTTCATATTTTGGATTATTTTGTAAAATAATGATATTTTACATTTGGGAAGTCCTTTTTGAAAACTAGTTTTTGGAACATGTTTATTATCATGTTTACAATCATTTCCCAAATTTTTATATTTTTTGGAATTTATTTGATATTTTTAAACCCAGTTTAAAGTTTAGTTTTTTTTGTGCACTTCAGGTCTGTGCATGTTTAGTCGACTCATAAGTCGACTCACGAAGTGCAGCGCAGTTATGATTTTTCTTCTGCTGAGTCGACTCATATAAGCCGACTCATTATTCGACTCATAAGTCGACTCATGAGTCGACTCATAAGTCGACTTATCCGAGAGCCGTTGCACAGTAACGGTTAGTTTTTAGCAGTGTTTTCTGGGGGCTTTTTGGTCTTTTTCTTGGGGTTTTTGCTGAAGTTTTGGGTCCCTATAAATACCCCCTTTGCTCTCATTTTTTGGGACAACCAAGAGAATATTTTAAGAAAGTTTAACGAAGGTTTAAAGTTTGAGTTTGTTTAAAGGTGTTTAAACCTTGTTTAAGAGTTTCGTTTGTGAAGATAATTTCACAAGGGCTTGAGGAGATAATCTTTGGTGTTTGAGCTTCAAATCATCTCTCCCACTCTTGTCATTTATTGAAGAAGTTTTCTAAACTCAATCTACCTTTACATTTTATTGTTTGATTATCATTTTATTAAGCTAGTGTTTATATTGAGTTTAGTTAATTTTATTTATCTCTTTGTACACACACAACCATTGAGCTTATTGTATTTTCATACTTAGTATAATTTGGGTTGTGGGATTGTATGACTTAGAGTGTGAGCTTACATTGTGTTCTCATCCATTGTAGAGAACAAATTTATTTGTATTTGTGCCTATTTGTGAGGATCACTTTGTAATACACTTGTACACCGAGAGGAGTGTGTGGCGAGGATAGAGTCGATACCGAGAGGAGTGGCGTCGGTGGCCTAGTGAGAGGTGATAATTTCGAGCACTTGAGAGAGTCAATACGTGAGGACCAACACTTGAGGTTGTATCTTGTGTATGTACTTTGTGAGGATTTGTGAGAGTTGTCGGTTGACTTAATAACCGAGTGTGTAGAGTTTTCGGTTAGCTAGAAAACCGAGTGTGTAGAGAAGTTCCGCTTTCAAACCGGGTTTTGTAGTAGATTCTCCCTGGGAGTGGGGAGCGGAGACGTAGGACGGAAGGTCCAAACTCCGTGATCATTTTCTTGTGTTTGGGTTTGGCATTGACGCATTTATTCTTGCATATTGTTATATCGTCATTGTTGTATGATCATATTGTTTACCCTTGTTTATATTGTATATCCTTGCACATATCTTGTAGCATATCATACTTGCTAGGATATATTTGTTAATTAGTTTTAATCCCCCCCCCCCCCTTCTAGGGTTCTTTCCTAGTAGCCTTAGGGTCTAACATGTACTAAATCAAATAAAGAAGTGGATACAGATGTACTCAATTTAAATGGTAAAGTAATGAATTTAGCCAATTTACAACCACTACATGACTTAATACTAGAACTAGATGATACAGGATAAAGTACTCCATACTGAATAAGACTCTCCGGCCTTTTATTAGACACATGACCAAGTTGTCTTATACCACAAATTGGCAGGAAGAGAGGTAGAGGGTTTTGACGAACAAACAGAAGCAACAAGAGAATGTGGATGTATGGACTCTGGAAGGTGAAGATATTCCAGAAAATACAGCTTGTGCCTCCTATGATCCACCCCAATCATCTTGCCATTTGTGGATCCTACACAAGACAAGTATCAGAAGAAAATGAGACAAGTAGGTCAGCCATACATAAAGAGCTAATAGAAATTAAATTCAAGCACAACTGATGAGCCACATAGATGGGACCAAGTGTTAGACGACTAGATGAATCATTTTATGGGATAATAGAGTCATACTGAGTGATAGATAATGGTTGTCCAGCAGCTGTGTAGGTAGGGGGGAGAGAAGATGAAGTAAAGACAGATGATAAAAGTGAGGCATTACAAGTCATATGAAAGGAACATGCAGAGTCAAAAATCCAGAGATCATTCATACCAGAGACCGAAGGGTTAGCTGAAGAACCAGCAAAATGCATAGCAGAGAGTTGTGCAGCGGATGTAGAGGTGATATGCTGAAAAGCATCAAGTTGACGGCGAAGACCTTCAATAGCTTAAATAGTAGAGTCTGAAGTGGTAGAATGTATAGCATTGGCCAGTAATCCTGGTGTACGAGAGGGTTGAGACTAAGGGGATCGCCGATCACGACCAGTACCTGAGGAACGTAACTCAAGATGAAGGTTAAAACATGTCTTAATGTGGTGTCCTTCCTTCTTGTAAGATTTACAAGAGAGCTTAGATCGAGCTTGTGGAGAGGGAGCCCGTTGAAAAGTATGACTCATAATAGGAGCAGTGATAAATACAGACAGAGCACTCTTGAGTGAAGAGGTAGGAGTGTTTGTTGACAAATTGAGTCGTGTTGTCTGTTACCGGGTCACAAAAGCAGTGAGAGCTCCCATAAGTGAGGCCAAAGTCGAAAATTGAGGCTGATGAAGTAGTTGATCAGCCATAATTGAATATTCAGTAATTGACTGAAACAGTTGATGCATCTCATGCTGCTCGTATCAGGCTAGCCAGTCTTTATATGTGGAATCATGTCCAGGAAGCATGGAACATAATTTTGTCCAAAATGCTTGCATTTGTCCAAAATGATACTGCAGAGAGGAACTACATTTGCGTTGTAGAGCAACGTATTGCAGAAGATATGCCTCCCGTGCACCAGAATACTCAGTGAAACGCTCAGTGAAACGCTCAGTGAGACGAGTCCACATGGCCCGAGCAGAGGAAATTTCGACAATGAGACCGTAGCCAACACAGCGAGTGAGATAATCTATGACACAAAATTCCTGCAACTGTCAGTCTGAACTCTCCTTGACATAGAGAGCACGAGCGGTCTGAAGACTGACATCACCACTGCCAGATGTAAAAGTATTAGATGAAACAACAGTGTTGATGAACGGTGAAACTAATCCTGTAATAGTGAGATGATCAAGCAGATCAGCGCCACGCAAGGTATTGGTAACAATAGTGGACCACCCTGCCCAATCACTTTGATCATTGAGGGGCAGGGGTGGTTTAAGAATCTTCTCTGAATGAATCATAACAGCAAACCGAAGTTCAAGATAATAATCTTTGAACGAAAAAACCCGAAGGTTAAAATAGAACCCGAAGGTTAGAATGGAACCCGAAGTTTAAAATAGAACCCGAAGGTTTGAATGGAACGGGGCAGGGGTGGTTTAAGAATCTTCTCTGAATGAATCATAACAGCAAACCGAAGTTCAAGATAATAATCTTTGAACGAAAAAACCCGAAGGTTAAAATAGAACCCGAAGGTTAGAATGGAACCCGAAGTTTAAAATAGAACCCGAAGGTT